CAAAGAAAAAAAACCGCTAAAACAATGAGAAAAAAAAAATCCCAACCAAATGAATGCTCTGATGCCATTGTTCAGCTCTGTCTACAGTCCTTCCTGTAAATAAATCTTCCCCCACCTTGGGCTAGCTCCAGAGCTAGCTAGGCCCAGACTTGCGGATACCCAAAAGCTTCCTGCAGACTGCTGTGACCCAGACCCCTGCCCTCCTAAGATAAGACACTGGTGTGTTATTAACAGAAAGTTATTACAGATGACCACAGCAGCAACACAATGGTATAAAAAGTATGACATGAATAGTTTGGTTTGTGGAAGACCAAAGTGAGCTACAAATAAAGCCCACTGCAAACTGTCCACCACCTCTTTCAGTGTACTGCTACAAGTAGTTGTGTCATCAGAAGTGGCTGGGCCAACTGGTGGCTGCTTCCTCTTAGTTGCTGCCTGTGCTGCAATCTTTTTGCTGTGCAAATAAAACTATCAGAGCACCTGATGTTTTTACAGGACACAACTCTGGACACGTTCGTTAACAACAAATAAGTTCATCAGGCTGGACTGCTTCTGTCTAATTTTTACCCCATGGCAAGGTTCAGTCGTGCTGGATGATTGTCACAAGATATTGCTGTGACCTCAGGAGCTCAAGGATCATTACTGAAGAGATATATGAGAGCCAAAGTCCCACCAGCTCAAGGAGACTTCAGTGGTTCAAAAACAGGGCTTGAAAAGACATACTCTGTAGTTTTAACAGCAAAACGAGTATCCAAACAATACACCAAAGAGAAGCACAAACCATCTGACTGTGCATCTTTCCAGTCTTCATTCATGCTATAAAAATACTCTCATGTCTGACCATGCATGAACACAAGCAGTCAGCTAAAGCCAAGCATACTTTAATCACACACATGGACAAAAGACAAAATCAAGAATGAGCTCAGAGATAAGAGTTTCAACATCCCAGTCTCACCATCAAGGCTCTCACAGGGACCTCTCACAGAGAAAAACTGAATCTGCAGTGGCACAAAGGTCAGATTAATACAACTTCTCATTTCATCACCCCACCTCCACTTTGAAGAACAGTTGCACATCACAAATTCCCCTATCTTGTATCTACCGCTGCTAGAAGGTACTTGATGCCTTCATCTCTGCCTGCTGCTGCTCTTTCCTACTCCTAATGTAATGCAGCTGCCAAGGCAGTGGGGAAAGATAATCCTATGAAGAGAACATCTAATGCTTTCAGGACACATGACATATAATATGTGATTGTTGTTATGTTAAGATATTATTCTTCAACTGCAAAAGATATCTTGTTATTCTGAAATTGGATTCCAGCTGAAGGCACAACAGAATAATTGAATTGTCTCTCCCTTACCTAGCCAGAGCTCTCAGCCTCAATTTTACCTTAGCTCCTAGCTAATGCATCAGCTACGTTTTGATAATTACTTGCTCCCACAGCCTCTGGGCAACCACAAATTGATCCTGATGTGCAAAAACCCTGACTATTCATACTGAGTTGTTAGGATACTTTTTACAAATCAACAGCGCTCCGAATTAATCCATCTTCCCTTCAGTCCTTTCACTGCAGCAAACTGGAGCAGCTGGTCTTGTCACCTGTACCAGCTGGAAAAGAGAGAATGAACAGCTGGGTGCTGAACCACAGGCTTGCCTTCTTTTGAGTTTAACCTTTGTATCTGTGGGGAATCATGAGCTGAGGGCTTGCTAATGTGCAGGTAGCTCCTCTCTGTCTTCCCCTTCTATCTGTCCTTGTGCAGCTCCATTTCTTTGTTATTAATTGGCTCAAACAAGATTTCCCCTGAGATACAGGCAGTTGTATCATCAGCCAGTAATCCCCTAATTCCCTTGGACACGCAGGAGTCCCTTGTGTGTTACTCTATAACTGTATTTTGCAAGTGTTGCACTCCTCCATGATATGCCAAATCGATGTTATGTTATGATCAAAGACGTCCTTGTCCTCGGAGCGAATTCCAGCACAGTTATGGTAGTTGGTTGCACAGGATACCGTAGATTTGAGCAGCAAAAATTCTTGAGATACCACCATCTAAAGCAAAAAGCCTTTGGAAATTAAACTTTTTTTCTCACGGGGGACAGACTTTGCTGAAGTAATTAGCACAAAGCATGTTCTGAAAGTCTAAGTAGTTCCCCTAGACTTTCACAAGAAGGATGGCAGCTATCACTGGTATCAGAGCTTTCTTATGTCATGCTAGAAGTCTATACAATCATAACTAATTATTTGTAGTTAAATAAGAAATACTGGATTTCTGGTTTTAACATTCCAGCCAGTGTTAATGGGAAGCAAGGACTTCACCTCTCTTTTTTCACCTAAGCAATCCCTCATCTGGGAACAGCCAGGGACCATCTTTGGAAGGTTTGAACTGGAGATCTTTAAGATCCTTTCCAACTCAAACCATTCCATGATTCTATGATTATATCCTTCTTACCTGCCTCAGTGTGATGCTGGTCTGTGTTAGACAGCAGTGACCTCACTGAGGCCCCCATAGCTACTGAGTAAAATCATATATGAGGAGTTTAAAAAAAACAGACCTGAGAAGATATTTGTTAAAATAGTAATCAAAGAGGCTGGAGATCCAAGTGAAAAAGCTTTCCTGTTAGATTTCTCTGAGAATACTCTCAGGCATAAGATAAAATGTCCAAGGTAGAGGTGTATCTTCATCTGTCAGCATGCTTAAAGCTGGTACTGCATCTTACATGGCATCCTGAGTTGATGTTGATAGTGATTTTCCTGTTACATTACCGAGTTTTTTATTCCTTGCATGGTGTTGAATGTCTAGAGGGCACATAACCCCATGTCCTGAATTGCACATTTTATGCACAATTTTAGGTATTATGACTGTTTTCAATGTCTCCCTCCTTGGAAAGGACCAGCAAGAGCTGCTGAAAGACCTTTGAAAATTCAGTTTCCCTAAGGGCTCCAAGAAATAATGCCCTTCCTGAGCTTAAAACACGAAAGTCCACACCTTTATACAATTTGAGGGATCATTTCTAAAAACACCGAGTGTGAGTCCTGCTTCCCAAGACTAAAAGGCATGCAAGTATCCCTGTAGCTTAACATATCTGTGGATTTCAGGCTCCTTCATGTGGCAGGTGGACACCAGCTTCTGTCTGGGTCTCAGACACTGTGCAGCCCAACTTGGAGGGGTCACCTTCTCGTGGGAGACTGCGGATTATCCTCGTTTAAAGAACAGGTCCTGGTTTATAAGCAGCTTTCCCACCTTGGAGAGCACCTTTTAATTGCAACAAACCAACAGCTCACTAGATGGCCTCGTAACCTCAGAGATTTGGGCAGATCCAGGCCTGGGCTGAGAAATCGCCAAGTTTAAAACCCTGGCATCCTAAGTGCTGCAGAATCATCGCCTCGGGCAATGCACAAGAGCCTTTTCAAAACGGAGCCTGAGAAATTTGAGACGCTTTGTCCGATAGGGAAACTAGAGAAACACACATTTGTCACTCTTGTCAGAAGCTGCTTGTATTTCCTAAATCCTGGTAGATGGGACAGGAGATGGGGCAGAGAGTCGGTGGGAGCTGTTGGAGAGTCACAGGTGTGACTCCTATTGAGTTGTTGGGATACTCCTTGGATGGAGCCAATTAGTCAATGTAACAAAACCGGCTGTTGCAGGAAGGACAGCAAACGACCAGCGAGCAGGGATCCCAAGAACCACCTCCAGACCCAGCCTGGCCTTACTGCACCCTCAGGAGGGGCTTGGGCTTGGCTCTGGCACTGAGCCCACCTGGGAGGGAGGTGAGCCCCTGTCTGGGTGGATCCCTCTGTGATGGTCAGCGGCTGGCAATGGGAGGGATGCAGGTGGGTTTGGTTCCTTGTCCAGCCACCAGTGAGTCGCAGCCACTGCCACATGAAAATCTGGCCACTTTGAGGCCTCAGAGGAAACACCACTGTTTGCAGGCTGTTGGGCCCTTACCTGCCACAGAGCTGTGCCCTCCTGAGGGACAGCAGCAGCATGGTGCTGTAGAGGAAGACCCCTCCCTCCTGTCCACACTGGAGAGGGTCTGGAGTGGAGGGAAGCGAAGGGATCTGTAGAGTAGCAGAAATATGAACTGAACGGATGGAGCACGTGGAAAAGGAACATGCAGAGGGGTAAACAAAAGGTCCAACTTGTCTGAGTAGCAGAGTCGGCACTGGATGCTCTTTCGGTGGCCGGTGCCCGCAGTACCTGTTGCTGCCTCAGAGAAGCTGGAGAGCTCTGGCTGAGTCACATCGGATTGACAGCGGCCTTGACCTGACGTGCAAAGGGGAAAAGAAACCCACATCATTTTCCCTGCTGTCAAATCCAGACGTGTTATCACTCCCTTTCCCGAGTGGATTTTTATACACATTTTTAAACACAGAGCTAGTTCGACTCTACAGCTACCTGAAAGGTTGTAGCTGGGTGGGGGTTGGTCTCTTTTCCCCCCAGTCAGCAAGTCAAGAGGGCATGGTCTTAAGTTGTGCCAGAGGAGGTTTAGGTTAGATATTAGAATTTCTTTACAGAGAGGGTAATCAGACATTGGAATGGGCTGCCCAGGGAAGTAGTGGATTCTCCGTCCCTGGAGCCTTTTAAGATGAGACTGGATGTGGCACTTAGCGCCATGGTCTAGCAACCGCAGCGGTAGTGGATCAAGGGTTGGACTTGATGATCTCGGAGGTCCCTTCCAACCCACCTGATTCTATGATTCTATGATTCACACTAGCGCAAGCCTTTCAGAAAGGCGTTCTAAACGAAGCAGGAGCGCAGCAAGCGCACGGCGCCGACCGGGCAGCAGAGTGGGTTCAGAGTGGGGCAGGCGCTGCAGGACGGGAAGGAGAACCACCGCCGAGCACCAGCGGAGCCCTCAAGGGCGATGCTGCCGCTTTAAGGGGGGGCGGGAGCGGGGCCTTCCCCGGCCCGGCCCCGGGGGCGGTGGCGGAGCAGCGGCGGCCGCAGGTACGTGTGGGCCGGGGCTGCCGGCGCCGGGCCCGCCCCGCCGGGGGCGGTGCGGCCCAGCACGACGGGCTCGGCGGAGGTCCCGGCCTTCCCACCGCTCCAGCCGGGAGCTGCCCGTGCCCCCCGCAGAGGGGAGCCCGGCACGGGGGGTGCGGGGGTGGCGGCGGGGCGGCCCCGGTTTGCCCCCCTCGCTGAACCGGGCGGCCTTCGGCCCCGGGTAGGTCTGGCTTACCCCCATGGGAAGGGGCTGGGGGTGTCGGTGCGGTTGGGCTTTGGAAGGCACTTGCTGCCTTGGGAAAAAAAAAAAAAAAAGAAAAAAAAAAAGCTTAAATTGCATAATAATTGGTGTTTGGTTTTGGTTTGGGATTAGTTCGTTTTTTGTTTGGTTTGTTTGTTTGTTTGTTTGTTTTGTTTGGGGCTTTTGGTTTTTTTTGTTTTTGTTTTGGTTATGGTATGTGTGTTTGTTTTTTGGTTTGTTTGTTGGGGTTTTTTTCGAAGGTGGGGTTTTTCTCGTAGGTTTTGCTCGGTTTTGTCCCCTTTTCCAAGTTCTACTCGCCCACTGATTTTATTTCCAGCAAGATGGGCAGGCCCTGCAGGAGTGTCAAACACAGCGATATCCATCCTGCTATCCATCTGGATTTTATTCCCAATAAGGTGGGCAGGCCAGGAGCATCAAATGCAGGGATGGCCATCCTGCTATCCATCCTGATTTTATTCCCAGTAAGATGGGCAGACCAGGAGTCTCAAACGCAGGGATATTCATCCTGCTATCCATCCTGATTTTATTCCCAGTAAGACAGGCAGGCCAGGAGCATCAAACACAGGGATAGCCATCGTGCTATCCATCCTGATTTTAATCCCAATAAGGCAGGCAGGCCGAGAGTGTCAAACACAGGGATAGCCATCCTGCGATCCATCCTGATTTTATTCCCAATAAGGCAGGTGGGCTGGAAGTGTCAAACGCAGGGATATCTATCCTGACACCTTCCCTCTCACTAGGAGCTTGAGCCCAGTTTGGCATTTTGAGCACAGAGCTCTTGGCAGGTGTTTCTCTACTGTCGATTAATTTCAGGAAAGTAACCATCATGGCAGGCATTGCAAAATAAACACTGCGGAGCCTCAGCCCTGATAATTTGCAGCAATTCATGGGGAAAAGCCAGCATACAGCATTAGCTGACAAGATTTATCTCTCAGCTTGATTGCAGTTAACATCATGCTTCCCTTAGGCAGAAGAGGCTTATACTGCTCTGCCTTCAAGAAGGAAGGCATTCATTAATTACATTCATTAATTACATGGACTCTGCTGAATGGAAAAATGCAGTATGTTCGAATGTGTGTGTTTATTTCTAATAAAACCACAAAGCCTTTAGCCAGTGATTTAAACAAAGACTTAATGGGAGTATCAGCCTCAACAGCTAAGTGTTAGGGGATGGAAGTTCACAGTTTAACATTTTGGCAAGCGGTCAAATTTACCAAAGCCAGTACCTAAAGCAGAGGCCAGCACACAACAAAAACACCACTAAACACATATGGACTTTTACTGAAGTCACAGACAAATAAAGAGAAACAGAAGTAATGAAATACAAAGTCTTAAGACTTCATTTTATTGGCATATTTTTTCTGTTGTCCCTTAGTCTAGCTTTTTTTTAAGGGCAACATGCACAGCTCTGGATGGTGAAGTGGTCCACGATTCTTCTCTTGTGAAAAATTGGCAGGGGTGGGCAGAATGATGGAGCTCTGCTTTCTTCTATAGCTGACAGCAACCACCTGAGACTATTGCACTGTAACACTAACTGATCCTTTAAAATACAGACTGAAATGCAACAAATTGGGAGTACTCTGATTAAGATCAGTTTTGCTATGTCCATAGGCCCTGCAATGCCAGAGCCCTCCTGCAAAATCTGAAGATTCAATGGAAGAACTTGAAATGAGAGTGGATTGTAGGGGCAGAGGGAGGGAGATGTTAAAAGGCTACATTTAATTTTTGCCTGTATCAGCTGCCCTACTAACTGGTTGTTTCTCAATGGATATGTTCATAGTACTCTCCTGAATGGGTCTCTTGAAAGCTTCTTCCTTGAATACCCCATCTTCCAGACTTAAAAGACCCTGGGCAGGGGCAAGGCACGTGTTTGTGGTCACACAGCAGCACAGTGACCTTTCCTTCCTAAAGTCCCTGGTGGTGCAAAGCCTTGAAGAAACATCACTTACGGAGCATTTTTCTCCTCTCAGGAATTGTCATCCATCGCTATGAAAAACGACATCCTGTGAGTTTGTTTCAAGCTTTCTGCCTCATCAGCCTGCTTCAGATAAGCTGTGCTCTGAGCTCTCCTGGGGAGGGTTCGTCTCCTTGGAGAAGCATGGCCTTCCATGGCTGGAAGTGGCTCCTCCTTTTGGACAGGCAGAACTTCTTTGCCAAAGCTTGGAGTAGCAGGAGGGGAGGCTGGAAGCGCTGTTGCCATTGGAGTGCTGGCAAGTCTCTGGACCCCGAGGTGAAAGCATTTTTGGAGGAGAACACGGAGGTCACCAACAGCGGGCACCTCACACCAGAGATACGGCTGCGCCTCCTCACCCCTCGCTGCAGGTTCTGGAGAGAAAAACCCGACCTGTGGCCTTACGGGGACCCATTCTGGGCAATTTACTGGCCAGGAGGCCAAGCCCTCTCCAGGTATGCAGCACAATGCACCATAATTGATAAGTCCAGTCTGCTGCAGGCCGGGATGTCAGACCTGGCTCTGTTTGTAGTGATTCCTAGCAATGTGTATTTGCCTGTTGTGAGGGCATTATCCATACCCCTCTCTGCTTATACAAGAGCACTGCAATCTCTGCTGGTTGGCAGTGACGTTCCAGCAGCTGCTATACAGAATAGCTTACATGTCTTAAGTAGAAATCTGTTGTATGCAGTGGCTGACAGTGGGGCTGAATTTGGATCCGTGGAAGGGCAGTGCAGTTGCCATCACAACCTAGTGAAATGTTAATTCTGTCACTCGTTTTTGCTCCAAACAGGAGGATTGTATTTTGTCATAACGTGTGGGGGTTTTTTGTAGGAGACAGACAGGAGTGTGGATGTGCATATGGTCTGGTGAGAAAAGTACGTTTGTGCTGCTGCACTTGGAGTGCTGGTTAGCCTGAATCACTCTCCTCAACTAGGATTTCAGCAGCCTTATTGTCAAGCCTTACTGTGGGTGTCTTTTAGTCACATCAGAAGCCACATTTTGGTTTTGGCTACTGACTGTCAAAATGTCTTTAATGTTCCTGATTCTCAGGAATTAGTTGGAGTTCTTTTATTCTGTAAAATCAAATCTCTCACTTTGAACAGCAGAAAAAATTCTTAATTTTTACAGCAAAGAACAAGCTGTCAGACAATCCCCACAGAGATGAAAGGGAAGGATCTGAATTGAGGCTCTACTGTTTATCTGCGACAAAGCATAAATAAGAAGGTGTTTTTGTCCAGGGAAAAGATGAGTCTTACTGTTAAATTGTGAGTTGCTTAGCCACGTAGATTAACTACAGCGCTCCTGAACACTGGGTAAATAAATTAGATAAATTAATCTCTGTATTTTGTTATCATATGATACATATGCCCATATATTTGGGTAGCAGTAATTATCTGGCAGTTCACTACTTTACTGTCTTACTGTTTAAGCATTTGTTTGATGTATAAGGAATGTCAGAGATTAGCTGCATAATCTGGAAGGTAAAAAGGGAGCATGACAACATACGGCTGCTTCTATAACTGCGCTCCTTTCACAGTTGGCATTTCCACAACATCAGGAGTCTCCTATTTCAAGCTACTCCTCTTGGTGTAACCTAAGATACCTCGTTAGCCCAGCAGGGCAGACAGCAGTCTCCAACAGCAGCTTGATGCACTGTGTGCGTGCCAGGGGATACAGCCGGGTCCAGCTGTCCTCAGTCGCTACAGTCATCAGCAGTAACTCAAGAACCACTCAGATGGAAACAAGGCATTTGCAGCATTAGGCAAGATCATGGTCTACACAAATTACTAGTGGAAAGTCGTGGCAAATCCAAGCAGAGCCACTAAATAGGAGAAACAGAGCACTTCTGTGGAGACCTCACCCCAGTCTTCCACCCTTGGTTGGTAAACCAAGCCCTGTTGGTAAACTAGGGGCTGTCCTCAGTGACAGGACCCGAGGGAATGGCCTGAAATTGCGTCAGAGGAGGTTTAGGTTGGATATTAGAGATTCATCATCCAGAAGGTGGTTGGGTTCTCCAGGGAAGTGGTCACAGCACCAAGCCTGACAGCGTTCAAGAAAGTGTGGACAATATTCTCGGGCACATGATGTGGCTCTTGGGGATGATCCTGTGCAGGGCTAAGAGTTGGACTCAATGATCCCTGTGAGTCCCTTCCAACTCAGCATATTCTGTGATTCTGTGAACGATGTCCTCAGTGGAATATTGCCAAATAGCTGAGCTGCTGAGCCTCTACACAAGTGTCCCGCATTCAACACTCTTATTGGGCCTCTTTGTGCCATTCCTGCTGGTACTACCAGGCCCAGACATTTCCATTCATCCATTCCCTATTTACACCAGTCTTAACATTTCCATTACAGTTCTCTGCATTGAAATACCCCTGCAAAAGCTGTGCTTACCAGTAGCCCTGTGTGAAGACTCAGCCTTTGCTCTCCCTGCCAGAATATAACACAAATGTAGTATCCTTTCCAGTTTCTACTTCAACAGAAGTTATGGAAATTGGTAGTAAATTTATGGTAGCTTTGCAGTAATTCATTTCACCCAGGGCTCTTTTCTCTGACACTGAGGGCCTTCCCCTTCACAGCCAATTGAATGTCAAGGCAGTTGTTAAAGTTCTGAATCCTCTGTAATGGCCGTAATATGATTCACAGTGTTTAACAATAACTGCTGCTTGCCTTCTGTCAGTTCCCCACTTCCAGCCTAGAGGTTTTAGAGGATTCCTTTTGGCATGTGTCAGCAATTAGATGAAGATACTCCTTCTGCTCACCACAGCTCTATTCTTTTTCTCGGTGCGACTCAGGAACAACATTAAGCAGTTTTGAAGTATTTGCATCTGTGTCTTTGTGGCTCAAGAAAAGAAAGAGGAGAAATTCCTCTTCTTCCAAGCAGTTGCATAAGCAGCACTTCAGGGCGATGGGCAGGCAAAATATTCACTGTGAATACATCATGTTTGTTCAGGCAGATTGTTTTTAATTTCTACAGATCCTTACTTTCCTATTTCTGATATATTCTGATTCATTGTAGTCACCTTGCAGTTTGTGTCTAGAAGCTCATCTGTCAGAAAAGGAGCTGATTGAAATAAAATGCTGCTTACTTAGCTGGATTTCTTTTCATTTGGAGGGTGGGGAACAAGTAAGGAAGAAAGATTTTCTTGATTTTCATATCAGCAGAGACAAATAAAGAGCTACGTACCAGCTGCACATGTGGGATAGTGTTATTAAGGTATCACACTTCATTACATGTATAAGAACTCTTAGTGTAACACAAACTTGAGACATTTGCATCATCTTGTCCACTGCTTTAACAGCTTTTCTTTTTCAGGTACATTTTAGATAATCCCCGCGTCGTTAAGGGACGATCAGTTTTGGATCTTGGAAGTGGATGTGGAGCAACAGCAATAGCTGCTGTGATGAGTGGGGCATCCCAAGTCCTCGCTAATGACATCGACCCTAGTAAGGGCTTTTTTCTTTTCATCTCTGTGTAAAGATACTTATTCATTTTTAAAGCACCTTTAACAAGGACTTTTCTTTACTCCATTTGGGAGAAATTCAAGCTCCAAACAGAGTTCTAAGAATGCTAAAAAGCGGAATGGATTTTGCCAGTATTAGAAGCTGGGTTGTACCAGCCTCTCTTGGACCAGTATATCTCTATAACACCTAAGAATGAACAAACAGCTAAGTTTCTGTCAAGTGTTGCCTATACACCATCATGGCTGCTTTGGAAGAGAACTCCAAGTGCAAACAGCAAGTTGGCTTCTCTATAGGACTGTAGCATTTTCCTGTACTTTGATGTTAGGACCTAGATTTTGCCTTTTCCCTCCAGACTTTTCCATAATTCACTTATGAATTCAGTTTATTCATAATGTACTTACTCATTGTTTAGGGAAGAAGTATATCCATAGATTAAGGCAGTAAGATATCCTAATTCAGTTCCATGATTGTTTTCCACTGGTATCCATTCCAGGAATAGTTCTTCCCTGTGTCATGGTGTAATGGGAATAAAATTTCATCACTCTATGCCAGATTTTAACCCATCACGAAAACTGTGGAAGTCCCTAGATAGGATAAACAAAAATATTTAAGAGATGAAATTGAAACCTGTCAAGGAAATTTGTAAGGGGGCTGAGTGGCAGAATCCTAAAATGTAACTTTCATTTTGCTTTGACTTTTCTTCAGTTGCAGGAGTGGCAATGATCCTGAACTGTGAACTGAACCACCTGAATCCCTTCCCCATCACCATTAAGAACATCATTAATTCAGAGGCTGGCAACTGGGACCTCATTGTTTTAGGAGATATGTTTTATGATGAACAACTTGCTGATGGTCTGCATCAGTGGCTGAGGAAGTGCATCAGGATACAGCAAACTGAAGTGCTGATTGGTGACCCTGGCAGGCATCAGTTTTTAAGCCACAGCATTCACAGTCATTTGCACAAAGTTATAGAATATTCACTTCCCGAGTACACTAGACAAGAAAACCATGGATTAACATCAAGTATCGTCTGGAGTTATCAGCCCTCAAATGGCTCAGAAGACTGTTGAAGTTGGCTTTGTAAGGAATTTTGTCTTGCTTGGTTAGCTTTGTAGTGAGTATGTAAAAAGAAAATGGGAATGAAACACAGTACATTATTTGTTAATGTAAAGCAGATTCCTGTACCTTCACTGAACTGATTTGTCATACTCACTGAGGCTTTTGCTCCATTTGAGGTAAAAGCTACATGCAAACTGTATCCAGAGGGCCTGCACTGAAGTGCAGACCCACAGATGAATCACACATAAGAGTTTGCATGCTTGATGTTTTTCATGTATATTTGTGTCTTGCTCTCTAACAGTACTGTGAAATGTTTTGGATGTCCAGTACACTGCTGTGGGGAGAGGGCCATGGCTGACAGACTACTGCACTGCTTTCACAGACTTTTGCAGCTTATTTATAGAGAAATTGTCAGTGTCCTTCATAAAATTCTAAATCATAAGAGATTAATAGTTCTTAATATGCTCAACTTAAAGTGCCTTGCTCCTTTTCTGGATCTCTCTTCTGAATGTCAGAGTAACTAATTTGAATCTCCCTTTTTTCCTCTATAATAAAAGCTTACTCTTCCTTCAAACTGCCTGAGTGATTATGTAGGAGTTGCACACAAACCTAAAATAGCTTCTTGACTGGTAGCCAGTGTAGAAGTTTTTAGTAAGTGGAAAGTACCTAAACAGTACTAGCTATGGGGTAACTTGATCATCTAGAGAGTAGGGTGAAATTACCTACATATCTGAACTTTGCAAGGGTAAACCAGGCAAACTATCACCTTGGGAAGCTGCTGAGGGATGGAGAAATCTTTCCTTGTGTGACAAACAGAATATAACTAAATAAAAACAGGGAATAAAAGTCTGATATAATTATTTTGCTCTTCTCTTGAGGAGATGCTGGACAACAAGCTCTAGAATTATTCTCAGTTACATCTGCCAAGAAAGAACTGTCTGCAGGGTCAAAAAAACATTGTTCCACAGGTAAGAGGCTGTAACTGCAGCCATTTGAAGAAACCACCACTGTTTTCAAAGCAGTCTTGCAAGAACTGTCCCCTTTAGCAGTCAATTACTGAATAACCATTGATGGGGAACTAATACCTGCACAACCAACAGAATGCACTTACAACTATTCAAATACCAGGTTATGTGGTAGAAGCTTATAAGTGTGAACAAGTATGTGGTAATCACTCAGAAAACCATGGTATTTATGAAGCAGGAGGCTTAAGAGCACAGTCAGATGTACATGTTATGTAATTTAACAAGTTTCCAGAACTACCCAAACAGATGTCTTACAAACTTTAATCACCTGAACAATATGTGAATATTCTGCAGTGCTCACCCAACATTTTGCAACAGTAACAATATCCAAACAATACAGAAATAGGAAGTGGTAAGCACATACATGATGTTCTTCTCCCACTTCACCCAGTGCTTGCCAACATTTGTTGAAAATTACTGTGATTTAACCTGAATCAAAAAATACTCCAGTAGAGTTATGCAAGTAAGAAACATGTAAAAGTTCTACTGGGGAAGGATTTAAAGTGACTTACATTAAACTTTCAAACCTAAAAATGTGGTGTTAACTCGTTGCCCTGTTGTACAGATTTTTTAAGCACTAAGTTAGACATTTAGAAGAGGCTGTAGGGGAAAATGGTAAATCTACACGCCCATTTAAGGACACACTATAGGCTGCATTTGCCTTCGACATAACAACATGACAAATCCAAGGTTACATTAGCAAGGGGGGAAAGGACAACTTTGCCAGTGAGGTTAGCAGTAGTATTGTCCCACAGGCAATTTTTTTTAAGTGTCCTGTGCTATTACAGAGTTTGGTGGTCTTCCACCTCTCGCTACTGTACATAAGCTTAATTTGTAACTTTCTTTCTGGATGTAGCACTTGGGAGTCTGGTGGCCACCACTTTGTAACATAACATGAATTGTTACGTGCCAGCAACAGAGTGAGGGAACTGGACTTGTTCAGCTTGGAAAAGACAGGGCTTCAAGGAAGGTCTGAGCAGCCTGACCACACCTATGAGGAGGCCATCAGGATGACAGCCAGGCTCTACCAGCGAGAGGAAGGGTGTTGACACAAAATAGGGTCAAACAGGACAGAAGGAAAAAAATTTCAGCATTAATACAGTCAAGCAGTGGAACAAGTTGCCTCAAAGGGTTGTGAAGGCTCTGTACCTTCAGTTTTTCAAGACTTGGCTGGATAAAGCGTGGACTAAGCTGGTTTGAGCTTTGAGCTGGCCCTACTTTGGGCAGGAAGTTATACTTGAAACCTCCCAAGGCTCCTCCCTTCTTCAGTTAACTTTCAATTCCACTTAGTCTTTTTGTGGCAACCTTCCTGAAACCAGGAATGCTTTACCCATTGGACACAATTACTGAGCCTCTCATTGCTGCTGCCTAATCAGCTAGATGGATCAATATCAAAAATAGTGCAAAACAAATTTACTGCCAACTCACGTCCAAGAGTTCAAAGGAATGATGGGCCCTGATTGATACCAGGGACTACACAGGGTATAAAAATAAACTTAGCCAAAAAAAAGGAATAAAACTTGGTAGATTAGGTTATTAATCTATCCAATGCAAGGATCTGCTGCAGTTACAGCTTTCAGATGCTTGTGGATAATGTAGCGAAATCAACTCCTGTTTGCAAGAATGGTTTGTGCTGGTGCAGCTGTACCTAGAGGGATCACAGTAACACACTCATCACTGGGCTGAGCCATGGTACTCCATGCAACAAGAGTAAGGGATTTAGGCACTGGAGTTGGAAAATTATGCTTTTAGTTACACTTGAACAACTTTTCTAAATAGATTTGCTCTTTCATGAACCATATAATCACAAGAACGAGATCCTTGTCAGACATCATAATATCCTTTAATATTGGCTGCAACATGTATCTTCCATGCAATTTGCTTGAACTTTGAATAGATTAGTAGAAGACTGGTTTATTTCTGCAACACTTAAAATAAGTGTGGCTATGACAGGTGTTAAATTGTAAAGTAAACATATTCATTATAGTTGCCTAAACTCATAAGTTTCCAAATGTCCTCAGGATTCATCTAAGACCACCCTAGCTAAACCCTTCTACTTCCACATAGAGTATCAACCTAGTGTGCTCCATGCCCTGTACAATGCTAAAATTGCTAGCATTTAAGAAGTTTAATGCAGAAATCACAGAATTCTCATGAGAGATTATGCTGGTTCAAGAAAGCCAATGAACATGACTTGTAACTGTGATGAGACCACTGCTCCATCATGTAATCAACTCATTCTACAATTCAAAAATTTTTTCTTTAATATGACTATAATTAAACAATACATTTATTGTTATTTTCAGCTTCTGGGGGACCCTGGATATATAATAAACTGCATACAGCAGAACACATACTCTACTGAACTCTACCATCCTGAGATTTATATACTCAAACGCAAAATTTGGTCCTATTTCACTCACAGCTATGCTTATGAGTACCAATGTTTTGTTCCCTAAAAGGATTTTCATGTAGAAACGTAGGCAAAAGCCAGAGCAAATTAAGTATTTGCCCATATACAAAACTCTTTTACAGGTCATAGCTACTACTCTGAAATTTGTAAAGTCACCATAACAATTCCAAAGCAAGTTTATGTTCACACATTTACAGACTGTAGCTTTGGATACATAAAAAGCCAGCAAGTATTTGATGGTAAGTAAAACCAGAAATCTGCAGCATCAGTAACATCAGAAGAAAGGTGCCTACATTTTTCATTCCAGATCTAGCAGAAGTACATGGTGAAAGGAGATTGTTACTACTAAAAATACATTTGTATTGCTCTTAATGCCACCTCCATTCACCTGTTCTGTCTGATGACTTTTGTCAGATTTAACTGCCAACTTTACAGACACTTCTGTGTGAGTGTCAATGATGTGTTTAGGCTTGGTACTTTTAGTTGCAAGTACCTTCCCAGCCTACAAACTCAGAGTTACTTAAAGTGGGTCTGTACATGTAGCTAAGTTGCTAAAGGATGCCAAGGAGCAGCCAAGCCTGATACTTCAAGGAGGCTGAGCTATGGCTCAGTGTAGTGTTAATTACAGTTTAACTTTCCTCTTAATGAAGTATCCTCAGCGATGCAAAGAGAGACAGAGCTCCAAGCAGAGACAATGGGGAAGCCCAGACTCACAGGCAAGGACTGGAATAGCAACAGAGACCTCCAGTGGGAACCAGGAGGGACACAATCTGGTGGTACAAAAGTCACCAGCTGGTTCTCCAAGGTGCTTGCTTGCTGAAAGGGCTCTCCCATCTGTAAACTTGACACTCATTTGTACAGGATAAATAATCAGTAAACAGTCCATGTGACTTGCTTGATTTTGTTTGATATGATGAGCTCCTCTAAAACATCTCGGGAGCGATCTGCAAAAGAACGAAGGACTTTCTTGTTATTGATTCAGAACACATACAGGTGGTGTTCAGAAATAAGCTACACAACACAGCAAAGTAATTCAATTATACACCTGCATTTATGCTTATTTTGCTGTTACAATATCACACTTCAGATACACCTGTAGTAATCCAAAACAACTTGTTTCTTTCTCCAATCACCTAACTATAAAGCATCACCAACCAACAGGACTTAAAAAACCCACGGGCTATCCTACTCCATTCCACTGTTTCTTGAATGGGTGCTGTTCCATGCTTTTGGAATAGAGTAGGGATTTAAGATGCTAACATTTTTCTGAAGTCTTTGGATCTTCATCAGCATGCTGAAGGCAGAAAAAGGGACATTAAAAAAAAAAAATAAATCTAATTTTCAAAACAACAACAAAAAAATCCCTCTCTGAAGGTTGCATATTTCAAAGCAAAACTCTCATCCTGCTTTGAAAAATCTCAGCGCATGATTATTTTATCTACTAAGTTATTATTTGTTTGGGATTATTTACAATGTATAGCGTGCTCTTCCAGAGAGCAAGAAGGTACTATCAGCAAGAAATTACTCTTCTCACTCCCTGCATGATTTGACCTACCTGTTATCAGTGGGCATCCATGGAACAGAAAAATGTGTATCTTCGGACAACAATTAAGGACGGCTTCCACGGCGACATCGGTCAGGTTCACACAGCGCTCCATGTGGATCTCCTGGTATGAAAATAGTAGCAACAAAAGCCTGTCACAGCACCCATAGTTTTAGAGGCAGACCTTTCCTTTGCCCAAGCAGTTTGAGAGATCCCCACTCACACTCCTCTGTGCACTGCCCCTGTATGTGGTCTTACACGGACCGGGAAAATACCCTCAGGAAAAACAAAACAGCTTTTCTATGAAGAGTCAAAACTGAAAACTTATATCGGAGTTTTCCCAATATGCACATATCATTCAAGACAACTGAGAAAACTCTTCAATGACATTCCATGGTGTTTGAGTCCCATCACTTTTCCTATGACACACGCTCTCCTAGCAGTTTGTTGTCCAGGACCCAAACTGAATTCTGGTGTTTTCCAAAACAGGCAGGACTCATGAGTCTCTGGTGAAGTTTCTAATATCTATCTACATGGTTCCTAAAAGAAGTCTAAAAGCTTCTTCAAGACTAGACTAAAACCTTTCTCTGGAGTTGTATAACTATTACCTCTTGTTTGTGCTAGAAAAAGAAAATCACAATAAATTTACAGATTATTACCAACCTTTTTTCCTCCTCTGAATTGCTTTATATATCACTAAATATAACATAAAAGAAGAAATGCAGAAAAGAAACTATCAATATGCAAATCTTGGTAAAACGTACTTTGGGAATTCAGGGGTAAAAATAAAAAAAATAAATTGGAAAAAAGACTTTCCAATAAAAAACTCTAAGGATCTTTAAAAAGCAGAGAAATGAAAGAGACCTTTTGTAATAAATGCAACTTTGTACAGAATGATGACACATAAAACAAGATCTGTACTTAGAGAAGCAATATACACAAGAGCTGATCTATGTATAATTTTCAGTTTGTTTTATTAAGTGAAATGTGGAATCTGCCTATGAATGAAGTAAAAGTATTTATAAATCTACCTGCTTGTTACAGTTTGAGAATTTTAAGACTATTCTTTTTTCACTGTCTACCTGACATTACACCACTGACTATATCTGCACTTTGATGATATGAAACAGAGGTTATGAAGACTGTGACACAGACAAGGAAAACAGTTACACAGAAGAAGAGATTGCAGCAAATAATTTCATGTTCTCTACTAGATTTCTTCTTCTTACTGCTAGTAAAGAAGAAACTGTTTTAGAAGTTTATGCTGAGAGAACACAACTTTTTAAATTGTCATCCCACACAAAACTGTTAAATTTTGCCTTATTAAAACTGCAGAGACTGTGAGAGTTACATTTACCCATGCAGAGGTGCTAATTGATTTCTTCAACTCGTGAAGTTTTCCACATTACAAATTCTGCCTCTGTGTTCAACAGAATCAAGAAATAACTCCAAAGAAATCAAGAGTAAAAGTTAAGCATTCATTTGCATTTATTATATAGATCTCTCCAATGCTGTCAGTTAAAATAAGCTTGTTATAGTCAACTGAAGGAAACATTTTGAAAAGACTGAGGTTATCAAAAAACACTGGCCTGGGGCACTGCTACAGAGATACAGAAAATATACAGTTCACAATCAAGATCAAGGCAAGCGTATACATAAACAAAAGCAAAAAAAGTCTGTCAGTAAAAACCATCCCTGAGAAGTAATGCTGATAACAATAATTTTAAAATGCAGGTATTTGTTTTTGTTCATCCACTTGTTACTAGGTTAAGTAAATTACCTTTAAATTCTTCGAACATGTTCCACTCACCAGTGCTACAACGCCATCATCTGTTACCTGGAAAAAACCACAGTGGATTAAAGCTCAATTTTTTCCAACACAGCTATTTGGGTGGGAAAATTATATTAATTTATTCCCTCCCTGCAATCAATGAATACACTTAACATTAGAGTATTTTCTTCCCAACTAAGCTTGTAGAGAAGATTATCCAAGGGTTGGTTTGTTTGTTTGGTTTTCATTCTCTTAAACACTGTTTCATTTTCCTGCCATGTGATCCTGCCTGGCTTTCTACAGGGATGTTTCAAACTGTGTAACTGCTACTTCTGCAGCTTCTCTGTCTCATTTAACAGCGGGTACACTATTATGGTCAGAGCACAGCCCTTTTCCTTTATAAGGTTAAAAGCATTTCTGCTCTACCTAGACCAATTTTTCTCCTGTTTTCAGGACTGCAGACGCTCTCAAAGGAATTGAAGGAAGTTTCTTGGGTTGGGAAAAAAAAGGTAATCACTGCAGAAAGGTAAAAAAAATGTGGAAACAATTAGTTACTCAAGCAGCTTTCATCTCATTTCGAACATATACAGGGAAACTTAGCTATTCCTACAAAGGGAGAGAGAGGTAAGGAAATAAAGAAGTAATTAAGTTTGAAGAAGTAGGAGTTAAATGATAATGATAAAAACTACCAAATGAAATATTAAAATTCCTTTGATATCCTACTTCTAGAAAAATTGAAAGAAGAAGATCATCTAAAATAAGAACCTGATCTGACAGATCTGACACTTCGTTATAAATGCTCAGTACTGGACTCACATGCAACATAATTATTCACCATCACCCTCAACTGAACTACACTTCCTGCAAAAAATCCTTTCCCTGGCTCATTATCTCACTGTATGTTACAATATTGCTTTTGCAGCTGATTTCCCTCTTCTCATGCTAAATACTGTTTTTAAATCCCCTTGCCTGCCATTTCTGACATTTCCAATGTCATTCTTTCAGTGTTGACTCCATAACATAACTCTGACAAGCCATTCAGAAAGCACAGTCACTCTTGAACTAGAACTAATCATGGAGTGTTTACTTTTACTAGGGGCTTATACTGTTTGATATCCTATATTATTATTATTCATGTCAGTTTGTCCTAACTGAAAGCAGACAATAATCAGTCCAAGATTCCACTTTCTTTAAATTAAGTATTTTGGATGACATTATAACTTGAAAATGAATGCACCAAATAAAGATACCGAAAAAAAAGCCCCAACCGTCCAATATCAAGTAGAGTCTAACAAAACTTTATCTTTGGTTCACAATACGTGCTGTAATACCAAAATATATATTTTTCTGGTTACCAAGATGCAAAATATACCTTTCCTTTTCCTTGAGAGGAGGAAATTGGAAGTAAACTGTGGTCCTAAATCTTGTGAAGAATAGAGCTAAAAAGATCCCCTTTCAATTTTATCATGACAATCCTAAAAAATAAACAAACAACAGTCAATTGGCCAATTGCCACCACAGTTACCTGAGTAGATGAAAAGTCCACACTGTGAAGAAACTTGCAGTTTTCTCCTAGTGCCTTCAGAGATGCATCCATGATGCCTGAACAGCTACCCAAGTTCACTATTTGTAGGAATTGGCAGTTGAGTGCAAGAGCAAGAATTCCACTGTCAGTTATATCACAGCACCTTTTAAAAGATGCTTCTTGCAGGTAAGGGCAGGATAAGGCCAGTGCTATGACACCTGCCAAAGTAAACAGAGCAATGGAAAGAGGTACTCCTTTTTTAACATCACCACCATGCTGAGTCCAAAGGCTCTGGGACAAGTTTTGAGGAAGGAATAATTAAGATAAAGTGGAAAATATGATCCACATAGCATAGTTAAACCAGAAACTTAGCATGAGAGTAACCTGATAGCTCTCTCATAAGATAATCAGTGCTCTAGGCCTGTAATTTACACCGAAGAAGAGACTTTTAATTAGCATTGCTGTGGCATTGGGGATTTTCTAAAGCAATATTTACCCTGGATATTTTTTGCAATTCACTCCAATCTAACAAGAAAAACAAACCAGAAATAAGATCCCAGTTATCTGTGCGCAGATAACATACCTTCTGAAGTGATTCCAAATCTGTTTTCCTTGCAAGAATTCAAGTTGATTTTTTTCAGCTGCTTGCAGTTATAAAGCTGCAGTAACGCATTATCTGAAATATCACAGTCTCGGAGGTCTAGAGACTCGACAGCAGGGTGCAGTACCTGTAATGAAAACCTACCACTGCAGTCACACTCTGCTATGCCATCAAACATGCGCATTTTAATCTAAAAAACTTGTAATATAAGATACCACATAGAACTTTTCACTAGAGGATGGGGTTACCAGTCCTAGGAACTGAAAGCTCTGGGGAAAATATGGTCTATTTGCTGCAACAGTTCATGTCCTACAGCATGAATGGTCAGCTTCTGTGACATACAGAGTAGGAACACATTAATATTGATACTTAAACAGTGGAAATAATATCTTGATGGTACAATTGCTACCAGCAGTGCTTCTACCAGCACAGATATGTTTACCAGGGACAATACCCTCATATTTACTAGCACAACTTTGGTGGCAGAAATCTGCAGTGCAAGAAAACACGGATTATCATCAGAACTTAAACCTCTGGAACAGATAACAGTGATATTTGAAAGATATCCCAGAGTATTTTTCTCACCTGCAGACACACTCTTTTGCTCATAAACAACCAATCTCATTATCATACCATGAGGAGGTACCAAATCCTCATTAAATAGGCTCTTTTACTCTCACAAGACCATAGGACAGAGTTTTTGTGAAATCTTCCCCAAGAGGACATTAATGAAAAGTTAGACCCAAAGCAATGGAAGTCCTCAGATTTTAGTAATGATAGCCACATACTCCCTTCAGCTTGTTATTCCCTTCCTTAACTCCCAAGGACAAAAGCATAAATTTCCACACATAAGCAAAGACAACCGCATAGCTAAGAGGCTTGTTAAAGGTCTATTCCTTCCTCAGGTTCACTATAACACAGTACCATAAAGATATTACAAGGAATACTGGTCTTCTGTTTCACAAATATAATATTTACTAACAAGGTCAAATAAACAAAAACTTCTAGCAGATTCCAACTGCAACCTTTCAGCAAAATGGATGGCAGACCTCAGACAGCTCTGACAGCTTTTCCTCCCCAAATGCTATAAGCCTTTATGTGTCTCTTTATGGCATAAAACTGCCAACATGCTCCACGAGATACTTGTGAGCAGTTTTCACAAGATAACATTCAGTTCTTATTTCACTCATATTTCTGAATTCATATCTAAGGAACTAAAGCAGACAAATACAGCTTAAAGCCAAAGTGATCATCAACATTTTTTCAAGATGCTTTCCTTGACTGTTGGCTTTCTTTCACAGTTCTGAATTGTCTAAGACACAACAAAATCCACCAAACTGCTGATTTTGAAGCCACATGAGAATTTTTATGAGGCAAAAGAACTATTAAATGCAGGGAAGTCTAAATGAGAAGCAAAGGGCAGAGTATCAAAAAAATGGAACATTATAAAGATAAAATTTTTTGTTTGTACGTTTTCCACAGTACTTCTACTTCTGCCTCCAGTCTTGGCTTCACTATCTTGGCTCTGAGAAACTGATAATAATTGTCTCTTCTGAATTACAAGTCAAAGCAGGAATGAACAGGGAGTCATTCATTCTCTACTTCACCAAAGCCAACCTTTAGCTTTCCTCAATTTTCACACCTCCCTTTGAGGCTGAGTAAGATAACAGTAGATAGATAGGAAACAGATGTGTCCCTGAATTTACAGCTGAAGGAAAGTCATTAACTGGTTTCATTTTGAAACACTGGCACACATCAGTAAGCAGAAAGGACGAGAGAATTTGAACTATCAATTCCTAGCCTTAGCATCATCATATTTCAAAGAATCAAAATTTAAATAAATTATATGCGGATCATGTGCTTAACGTCAATAGAACCTAACAGAATTCTAACAAGTTCCTGAAATCCTTTCATTACTAAATTATGCATAAGCTTCTTGAAACATACTGCATTCAGGAACAGAGACTGGTGTGCAATACAGGTTACTTTCCCATACTGAGCAGGGATACTATATGTCACCTTGTTACAGAGCAATTCAAATTTAGTAGTAGAATGGCTAAGGCTTAGTAGGAGAGTAGGCCTAGAAAGCAACACTCCAAAGTAGTAAGTTAGCAGCCTTGTTTGTGAGCATGGAATGTGCTGAAGAAGTGGAAACAATAATCAAAGGATTTAGTCAAGCATGTATATAATGATTTGTTACCTAGGATGTGGTAAGGGTCTGTTACACAGTTTCTAGGGGTAAGACAAATTAAGCAGATTTATGATTAGAGTAGATGATTATCAATTGTTATCAGTATGAAATATGAGCTTGTTTGTAACTAAATGTAACTGTTTTGCTGTGGAAACTGTACGTAAACTTGTTTGTGTAAAAGTATAAAAGCTGAATTGAGAATGAGGGTCTTCGGAATCCTGACTTGGGACGCTAGTCCTCAGGTTCCCGGGCCCCGAATAAAGCACCGCATAAACCGGCACTCTGTTGGTTTGTGTCTTTGTTACGGGCAACAACCTGATTACACAAAAGTCAATTATCACTGAAGGGCGAACATTTTTAATTTACTTTTTACTAAAACATAATCTTACTACTAATACGGGACTATCAACACCATGAGGTTTAAGAAATAAAACTATAAGGACATGGACAGAGTAAGAAGGCTTTCGATTTACCTCATGTAAACAGTTTTAGTCCAGCTCATTCTCGTCTATTAACTATCACAGACAGTATAGTTTTTAATAGGTTCTTACCTCACTGATATTTGAATCAGTTATTTGCCCTTGCCTACTCATTAATTTAATCAGTTTATCCTTTATGTTGGGTGGCAGTGACTTAATATCTGCAGCATATCTGGAAAGGTTCTTTGTCAAACACTGAAGGCATCTGAAATAAAAGAAAGTTACAGTAGAGTCAAAAAGAGGCACTCAGAAAAAGCAAGCCATGAAATGTCATTTTCTGCATCCAGCTGTGGTGCTGAAACAGAGCAAGGTTTTAAAGGATTAACTAGGATAGAGTTGGTACCACGCTCTGGTAGGGGTTCTGCTTATGTTGAAATAGAGATAGCTTGTTCTGCTCTGCTGAAGTAAGAGATAGTAGGAATGTACTTTAAGTAACTTAGCAGTCATAAATAAAGCTAAGGTGGACATCTGAAGGAGATAAGAAGGCCATGAGTCAAGAGGTTTTGCAAGCCCCAGAAAACTAGGTCTATGAACAGAAAAAGTTGAAAAGTTCAAGAGAGGAAGAAGAGTGAGCGACCCCCAAAGTGAGGCTAAAGAACAGAAACCAGAAATGACCACCCAAAAGTCTTGCCCATTATGAATATGATAATTAGATGTCAAAAATCAAATGAATACGTATGTAAAGATGTTGCAACCTCTCATGAAAACTGTATAAATTACCTGGCTTTTCACTGAGAACTTCAGAGCTAGTTTGTCCCGTGCAAGCCAGCTAGTTCCCTAATGTTGCACTAAATAAATACCTTCAGACCTTATCAGTTCCAGCTGTTCCATGCTACCACCAATTCAGCTGCTGCCCTTCAGGGTCAATCAGCTGATCCTTCTGTGAAAGTGTTCCCCAAGCACCTGCAGGCAAAGATTAGCCTCCTTCATTGCAGTCACCAGCCCCACTTACCAAACGAGTTTGCTGGTAGTAGATTCACCAGCTTTAAGAAAAGCCTTTTCAGCAGCTAAACTCCATTAAGTAAGCACTAAAATCTTTAGTTGGGACAGCTAGATCCAGGGAAGGGACACCTCTCTTTCACCTCAGATAAAAACAATGAGATATCTTCAGTGTAGTATTTTGTGCACTGTCTGGTTTGTAGTACTCTTTAAATATGAATTGTGCTGTGTAAACCTGTGCTCAACCCTTTTATCTTTGTGCTTAAAACTAGATCTGATCACAGGATGGTCACTTGAGGTAGAAAATTTCCTGTGACAGTAGGGTACAGGAAATCTGAGATCAACAGGCTCATAGTCCTAGAAAGTAGATTAGTTAAATAAAGTAACAAGTGGACACACAGAAAATTTAATATATAGGGGACAGTGACCTTACAAGGTATTACAAAAAGCATCACTAGCAATGGTTCTTCAAGAAATTAAGCTGCCCTAGGATTAGGAGGAAGGTCCTCACACAGCTTATTGAAATCCTCTCACAATCAGAAACACTGATTAGTTTAAATCAGTATAGCCAATTCCTTTTCTTTTAATAGCAGTATTTTAGGCCTCCCCACATATTTATTCATCAGAATGATTTATCAACATGAGGGAAACAACCTGATTATCACACACACCAGGACAGAGATTTTGAACTAGCAATAATGCCAACACATACTGCGTTTTCTACACATCATAAACACCCTGCCCTTTAGGCAACTTTTGTATTAGGGTCACAATTGCTTCCCTGTTCGGAGCAATCTGTTCCCTTGGCCAGATACTGAAACATGACTTACACAAAGTTTCCATAATGAGATATTGATGCAGGAGAAATTACAAAACAAATCTTGAAGACACATAGGGCTTAAGTATTCGTCCAAAAAAGGAAGGACTAAGCAGAAATAAATATTAATAGGCCTACTAGAATCACAGAATGCTGGGCGATGCTTTAAGACAGGATTTGAAATCCTACAATTTTATCTGTGTGAATGCAAGAAAAAGGGATCATTTTGCTCTGAATATGTTACGAGACTCTAGATGGAACAGAGCTTTTGGGGAAAAAACATTAAAAACTTCACTTAAGCAAAATAAAATAAAGATCACTATTATCCAGTTATACGTGGAATAGTGCCCAGCTGGAACACCTGAAATCGTGCTTTTCAGGGTCAAATATACAGAAGAATATTCACTTTTGCAATATTGAGTATCAGAGAGGGACATTAATCATGCAACCCTATCTTTTTAGGATTCCTAAAGCACTTTAATGTATCATAGAATACGTAAAATATTAATGTTCCAACCTCTGCAACTTTAAATTACAATCACAGGCTTACTGAAACACCAGAGGCAAGTCCGGGAAGAGTTTAGGAATGGCTTCTAAGCACCCTGAGCATACCGACCTTCAGAGCAATCACCACTCCAAAGTCCCTGGGCAAATGAGGAACATAAACTAGAATGAAGCTAATCAACATCCAGAGATAACCAAAAAGGTAATGTTTGTTGCTTAGGAAATGCCAAAAGTTTAAAAAGCATTACCATACAGCAAAATTGAAATGGAGGGAGCTGAAATGGGAGAGGAAGAGTAACTCTTCACTGTCTCCTCATACTTAGACACCTGAGTCCACAGAAATGATGGAATGCTTTGATTTGGGGGTTCTATTATCTATTGATCATAGCTACCTGAATTACATTCCCTAGGCCAACTTTTCTTTTTAAATCGTATCCAAAGTGTCGAAAGAAAACATTACCGTCCTACAAAACATTTTGCTTTTGTAGAATCGACATTTTCCCACTGACTCCCCCTACAAGTAAACTCAGACCAGTGATTGAAACTGCACAGTATTTCTCTCTACTGTAGTTGGCACCTAGACTGAATGGGATCTGGATACACACAGCAATAACTAAGACTGGTAAGTAAAGCCTGTAATGCAATCACCTGGCAGACAAACTTTGACCTAGTCTAACTTGATGAAAGAAGTCATGACTCCTGTTTTTCAGGGACAGGGAAAACTGACTGGTGTTTTACTCCTGCAATGGCCTGATAAAAGACCATTCCTTCTTGCAAAGCTTTTTCCCCTGCTCCACATTATCAGACTTGTTACACAGGATGTTTATAGTTCAGAGTTGTCTATCAAATGTTAAATAACACATCCATTTGTTCCAAACGTGTCTAGAGGTACAGAACAGAAAAAGGCATAGGATCTTTAACCTTAAAGCCTTATGACAGGACAAATATTTATATTTTGATGGCAGAGAAAAGCACAAAAGGAGCTAATGATGGCTTAGTTGGTAAAACACCTTGCCCTACTGAGCCAGAAGAAGGTATTGCCTAATGTTTGTTCTGCCTGTTTTGCTAGAACATTGTAGGAACACTGGTTAATGTCTTGTTCTGTCCTGCTTACCGGACCAAAGTCTCATTATAGAAAGAATGATAAGGAGCAGTATATAATAGACCACCAGGTAATAAATCAGGTTTAAACCAGATGTTTAGACATAGGAGGTTGAGAGTCAGAATTTTGCAAGCTTGAAGAATCTAGGTCACCTAACAATGAAAGTTGAAAAGTTCAGCTGATGAAGACTCTTGTATACTGTTATAAGTGATCATCGAGTAAATTTGCTGTTCAGAATGGGAAGAGTTAATAGAGTTATTAAATTATATTAAGTGCTTTGTTGTAATCACAAGTTTAAGTGTTATGCAATGCCTAACCACAAGATTAGTAAGCTGCGAACTAACAGACCACAACGCAATGATGATTTGGCATATTATCTCTTGCTGTTTTGAAAGCGTTTGTTCTGAGCATATTAATAGAGAGCAATATGGAGACAAACAAGAGGGGGTCGACCACGAGGAGTCAGGCTGACCAACCGTCATCCCGATGGAAATTTCCAGCATCACGGCCTAATAGAGACTAATGACTTTAAAACTATTGGTGGGTGCTCCTTAGCAACGGACATAGCCTGCGAAAGGAGGAGCCAACCTGGAGTCAGCCCGCGAAAGGAGGAGCCAACCTGGAGTCAGCCCGCGAAAGGAGGAGCCAACCTGGAGTCAGCCCGCGAAAGGAGGAGCCAACCTGGAGTCAGCCCGCGAAGGAGGAACCAACCTGGAGTCAGCCCGCGAAAGGAGGAACCAACCTGGAGTCAGCCCGCGAAGGAGGAACCAACCTGGAGTCAGCCCGCGAAATCACCACCAATGAACTGATGACATGGCATTGGGGGGGAGGTGGCAAAGAAGGGTATAATAAGTGCTGTTTCTGTTCCCCTTTGCGGACCACGGGAGGAACAGGGGTTTCCTCTGGTCGCCCGGCTAGCCGTTTTTGTTTGTTTGTGGCATTAATAGATCTTTGTTCCTTGCAACCTAAATTTATAGCCTCATACTTATCACATATACGACCAGGAGACCGAAGCATGAGAAGATCACCTAAAATTTGAACCAAAAGAAGATTCCTGAAAGCTCTGCCTAGACTCGGCCTGGACTCCGCCTAGCTAGTAATATGCGTGCTAGAAGGTGTAACTGTGTATCTAAAATGTATAAAGTGGCTTGTTTTGCACTTTTGGGTCAAGCCAGTTTGTGCAGTGCGAACTGCCTTGCTCCCAACATTGCAATAAACCAAATACCTTGCTGCTAAAAGGTGCAAAGTCTCTGAGCAGTTCTTCTATTCTGAGGTTTTTGGCATCAATTTCAAATACATAAAACAGAAATTAGATCCTTATGACTAATTATTCTACAAATAGCCTATCTTACCTCAAGGTGCAGCTTATATTAAGTAATGTCACACAACACAGAATAGCAGAACAGTTGTTAGGAGTGGGACATATCGGAAAAAATGAACCAGAAGAACAGATACTGAACTGGTTTTAATGGCAAATAACAAAATGGATACATCTTCCTGCATTCTTTAGGAATAGATCATTTATATTCATAGAAAGACCACAAAAGGAAGATCTGTTTTGAAGTTGCTATTCTACCTCTGTTCTCAGTTTTTTTATACCCATCTCCACATGTTCTGATGGCTTTGTAGGATATTCCTTTTCCCTGACAGATTAGTCACTAACACATTAGTCTGCAATAGCCTGACACTGTTAAACAAGAGCTATATATCAATGACACACTGAGCAATCCTAAGCAACACCTAAATACACAGTCTTGTGATGATTTACAGGTGTAGCATGCTTTCTTCACCATGTAGTAACTAATTAAAACACATTTAAATGTGATCTTTTATTTGTGTTGTTCTAAGAGTCTGATGCTTGATGGTAGAATCTCCATTCTGATCTCATGTCTGGGTATAAACAAATCATCCTAAAACACCTGCCAGGATTGAGAGATTTTTAACACCAGCCTCCCAACAGTATGACAGCTAAAGCTGTTTATCTGCTCCAGCTGCCCTCTCCACCTCTCCAGCAAGTGTTGTTGCTGCCAGGCATCCATGGTTTGTCAGGCCCTGCAACTCCTACACTGTCAGTTTTCAGCCAAGTAGAATTATGTAAACCAACTAAAAATTTGAGATAGACTGTCCTTAAAATTGCATCAGCTAGGACTGCCTGTCTAAGCGAGTGATTTCTCATCTTGAGAGCAATAACTTCATGCTATATAAGATATAGCTTGAGAAAAAAAGAACGTTTCTAAGTATTTTCAATATGATGCTCTCGTTGGAGTGTTAATTACTCTTTTGGGGCAGGGGGCAAAGGCCATCAAGTGTCAGACAAGCACCTTAATAAATGCACTTTGTTTGGAGATCTTAAAAATAATGACCTTATTAAAAGGACTACTCAACACATTAATAGATTTGGTTCTGGTTTTAGTTTCTCTTGTAAGTTCTGCTAGTTAAACAATAAGCCTAAGAGCTAGTTTAAGTAAGAAGCTTAAAGTGCAGTCTGGCATTAACAGATGGCCATCACCCGACTGGCATTAAGACAAGAAACAATACACTAAATTACATTTGTTAAGAAGTTGTGTAATTACTGGTTTTGAGTAGTGGTCTTATGGACCATTAATTATATTATAATTACATTATAATATACTGCAGCAGTATTAATGAAGTAGTGTAAAAAAGATCAGTAACCAACAAAAAATAGAAATTGCTTATGGTATCGAGCACTACAGTACAGATGAAGAGAAGTTACCAAGTTTAAGATCTAAGGTTAAGCATGTAGCATAATACATTGCCTTAAATATCATTAATGTGGTCACTACACCCCACTCTAACCAAATGTAAAGTCCAGAGGTTGCAAAGGCTATTTTTCCATACCCCACTTGACTGCTCAACCACTTTTTACTGTGTCTTTCTCATGCTGTCCCTGAAACTCGCAGTTGCAGTGTAAGCTGTTCAGCATCTGATCTGAATGCAAAAAAACCCTTGACTAAAACTGTGAGGACACAGAAACAACACTGCCAGGACAACTGGCTGAGTGCAGGAGGCAGCAGCAACCTAGAGTTACACCAAATCTGATTTAGCATAAAACCACAGCTCTGAAGTCCCTATAGACAACTGGTTTTGCAACAAAACCTTGTCTGGCATCAGAATGCCACCAAATCACAGCAAATTAAACTCATACCAATTAAAAACTTTAAAGAGGTCAAAATATTAAGGCTCTGTAATCTGAAGCATAGCACAGATTTAAACTTGGAAGGAAGCAAGATTTCCAGTGTGGAAGCACACAAAAAAACCCCACTAAAGTTAGCACAGTGTATTAAAGACATCTCAAGTAGGTCACTGTAGAAGACACTCAAGGAGGAGACCATGATTTCAAGCAGAATCTGGGCAGAGTTTAACCCAGGCCTGGCGTGCAGAGACCTGTATGTCAACATGAGCAACATTCTAAACCTAAGCACGCACCAGGGCCGCCTTTAACTCATTCCTGTGTGCAAAAATGCAATGCCTTCACAGAATCTCAGTGACTGCTGGATGAACTTGGCTCCCTGACCAACAGAGAAGCCTGTACCAGGCTCTGACACAGTATATGTAGATTACACCACCCACATTCTCTGCTTTGAGATTAGCCAGCTAATCTACATGCAACATTCCTTAACTTGACTGCAGAAATGAAGAATAGTTGTTTACTTCTAAGAAAAAAAAATCTTATCAAGGCTCCAAAGACCACAAATATGAACCTCCCCATAGGCAGGATCGGGGCAACATGCTGATCACTGTGAAGGGGTTGTCTCACACTGTGACAGCCAGGGGGCCTCAGCATCAGAAGGGACATACGAGTGCTGTCACCTTTACCAGTGCTACTATTCCTTATACAATGAACCAGTCAACAAGCCTTGAGAACCCACGCCTTTCCTACTGAGATCCCAAATGAACCGGCACCTCCTCGCTGCAAAACAGCATCCTGCCATTGGCTAGGGTGAGTCAGACTTTGAGCCTTTTGGGGGGGCTACATGTGCACCCACCATGTGACTGTTCCCTCTTCTATGATGGATGCCTATAGAGTCATGTGAATAGGCAGCAGCAGTCTTTTGTCGCACAAGGGCACACGCTTCATTTATGTGCTAAATACATATTTATGATATGACACCTACATTTTGGCCACTGGTTAAATGAACTTTTCTGGCAATTCACCCTGAAGGAGGCAGACCGTCATCATATATTGCAGTAAATTAAAACAGTTGTAACTAAAAACTTAACGTAAGCTTCAGATTAATTTTTTTCTCTTAAAGACGTTAAATGGCTAATGCAGCCATGTTTGAAAAGAGGCCTGTAAATCGACCAACTACTTAGTTCAAATTTGCAGAAAATATTCCAAACCCAATGCAGATACATGGAAATTGATGTGAGTTATGCCAAGTTTTCCTGTTACATTTAACTGTCTCTTGCCACAGAACATTAAATTCAGCTTGAATGAAAAGATTATTAAGATAAATCACATTCTTTTCAAAGAGCTGGTTGATATTTGCAGAGTACGTTACTGATCTGCAGTTTAAACAATCATTTAAATTATGTTTTCACTGTTATTCTACCTTTATAGGAAACTATAAAACATTTATTGCCTACACCCCAGCAACTATAAGCTTATCTTCAGTGCTTTTAAGAATAAAAATGTTAGACTAACTCTACTCTTTGACAGCTATTTTTCTTTTATCTGTCAAATGAAATATTTTACCCCTACGCTGTCTCTAACTCCCTCCTAAACACAAAGGAATCTGGCATAAAGAAAAACCTCAAAGCAAAACCAAACTGGTGCCAGGCAAAGCCAGGGATCCTCAGCCACCTCTCCACATCCAGATCTGTCCGGGAGCATATTGGTACCTACCTGCCAAACGTCATCACCCCCACCAAGCCCTGCCAGTCCTGTCAAACCCTGTCACTTGTCCTGTAACTCCTCCCAAATGGTCACTTCTGCCAAAACCCTGTCACCTACCCTGCCACCCCAAACCCTGTCACATCTGTCAAGCCTTGTCACTTCTCCTGTAGCTCCTGAACTCTGCCAAACCCTGTCACCTCTCCTGCAGCTCCTGCTCACCTCTGCCAAACCCTGTCACCTACCCTGCCACCCTGTCACCTCTGCCAAACCCTGTCACTTACCCTGCCACCCTGTCACCTCTGCCAAACCCTGTCACCTACCCTGCCACACCGCCAAACCCTGTCACCTACCCTGCCACCCTGTCACCTCTGCTAAACCCTGTCACCTCTCCTGCAGCTCCTGCTCACCTCTGACAAACCCTGTCACCTCTGACAAACCCTGTCACCTCTCCTGCAGCTCCTGAACTCTGCCAAACCCTGTCACCCGCTCTACCGCCGCCAAAGGCCTGTCAAACGCTGTCCCCTCCCTGTGCCTCAGTCCCAGCCCTCCTCCCGAGGTGGGCGCGGCGGGAGGGTGTCGGGGCGGCACTCACAGGTCCAGGAGGAGCCGGACTTCCTCGCCGGCGCCGTCCCAGCCGCCGCTGAGGCGGCTCATGGCCGGGACCGGGGAATGCTGCCGGGACCGGGGAATGCGGCCGGGACCGGGGAATGCGGCCGGGACACCGCCCCGACCCAACGGTGCCGGTGCCGAGATGGCGGCGGCGCCCGCCGGGATGCGGCATGACGGGAGATGTAGTCCTGCTCCCGCCTCGGGGGCTGTGCGGGAATCAGCAGGAATGCCAGCTGCCTGCCACGTCTTTCCACCTGTAATTCGTTGTATCGCTCGCTCTCTTTTTTTTTTTTTTTTCCCTTTTTTTTACATTCCTGCTTGGATGGTGTGACATAAATTGAGACCAAACAGTTCCCAAAAATCAGCCAGATGATTAGGACTTCATTGCTATCTTCAGACCCAAGACCCCTCACCTACCTCCTACTAAAAAGAACAAGTGACAGACTAAGAAAACGAAACTTCTGTTCTCATAAAATTAACTGAAGGATCCGTATCTAAGAGAAACACAGGTTGCTGCTGATGCCTGATAACTTTGTTGAAGTCAACAACTGAAACATCTGGACTGACAGATAAACCACAAGGATGCAATGGATAATGCTGCTGCAAGACCATATACTTTGTCATTGGATAATTAGAAATATGCATTAGTAGGTAATTGGGTAATTCATATCATACCCTTGTAAGTGTAAGCTATAAAACTCCCCAAAGAAAAATTGCTTGCATGTGCCCAGTTTGGCTGGGACATCTCATGCACACAATGAAATATGCTATTCAATCATCATGGGCCAGTTGTGAATTTTGCAACAAGAGCAGGAGGCACACGAGGTCATTAAACTGAGCTTTGTTTTAGCTTTCCTCTTGACAGCACAAGCAAGATGCCCCCGAGCAGCCTGAGCATCAGGAATACTGCAGGAGCAGGCTGGCCTTGGCTCCCATGGAGAAGTGTCTGTCCCCAAAAAAATGCAGGAAAAAGCCAAGCTCCCTTGAGCAGCATTTTAGCACTGGGAATGCAGAAACCTCCATGCTGGTGGTGCTGGGTTGAGCATAGAATGCTAGCAGGCCTCCCTGGAGATCCCTTTCCTTGGGTCAGGGGGCATGATAAAGCTGCAGCAAACTGTGTGGTCCTGACAAATTCTGTGTGCTTGTGTGACAAATGTAAACAGCACACATACCTGGCTGATGAGCAACCAATTCTCTTGCTATTTTTTCCACAATATTCAGTTTACCACATTCTCCCATCAGCAAGTTTGGCAGTGCTGAGGGTACTATTCATCAGCTTCTGGGCTGGAAATAACTACTAGCCCACTGACAGCCTTTAGCTGTTTAACCTCAGGAGTTGCTTCTGAAGCAGCTCATGAACTGCCAAATTTCACATACCTGTGAAAAGCCACCCTTAAGGGGAAGGAAGCACACACACAGGCTGTATCTCCAACTAGCATCGGGCTATCCCAGGGAGCAGACAGTGTAAGAGTGCTGCTCTTACACTGGTTTGACTGCAGGAAGCTGCAGAAAGAAATTCAGTCACATCAGCCTTAACATGGCGAGAAACCATACCGATAAACACCAGGCTATAAACAGTGACTCAGGAAGTGCTTGAACATGGGCTCTCCACAAAGAGTCAGGTCCTCAGCTTGTGCTGGTATATGAGGTTATTCCTCCCCGGGGTAGGACAGCAGCTGGCTGAATGTCATTAGGTTCCTATATGCTGATTTCCCCAACCTGTCATATTTCTGTTCAAAGGGACATGAGGTACATCAACCACTATTCCCAGTTTTGAATTATCAGCAAACTTGTGAGAATGCACTTTGCCCCATGTCATGTAATGAAGATATTAAGTGGTATAACCTTAGTATTGACCACAAGGGACTGGTCTCCAGCTTGTCTTTGTGTTGCTAATCCTTTGAAATCAGAAGCTGAGGCTGTTTCCAGTCTACCTCCCTATACAATTATCCAGTCCATACTGAGCTGGACAGAAACCTGATTGGTTTCAATAGCAAGCTGATCTAGTTGAACACATCCCTGCTTATAGCAGGGAGGTTGAATTAGATGACCTTTAAAGGTTCTTTTCAATCCAAACCGTTCTATGAAGACTAAGGCAAATAAGGCATTGAGGACCTCAATCTTTCTATGTCTGCTTAGTAGTGTGAAGTTCTGGTTCTGCTGTATCTAAAAAAAAACCCCAAACAAAAACCCAGAAGATGCTTAAGAGACAAAGATGTTTTTAAAAGTTACAGTGGGAAGTCTTACATGTCTCTTCCAATGCTGAGAAACATGCAAGGATGCAGACCTGGACAGTTCTCTCTGGTAGAGCCACTGCTCTGCAGAATTCTTTGTGGTAAGATTCAATAGCCTCATTGTTCATCACATCTTTACAGTATTCATCGAAGTAAAACAAATCCATCAGTCTCTTATTGTACGATACTAAATGTTCTAGAGGGTACACCGAGGTTTGCTGGAAACATTACACTTTTACACATTCCCGTGGGAACGAGCCCTTACAAAGAATAGACACAGATTGCATTGTTAGTGGCAACACGCCATATACTCAAGTTCAGCAGTTCCTCATGCTAACACACATGCAACTCTACAATCAAAACCTAGTTAAATTCTGCCTAAAAACTGCTTGAAATCAGCCTCTTCTTTACAATACCTTCTGTGTTGGCCCACTGCAGCATTCTTCTTCACCCTGTCCCAGCCTCATTGAGGAGCGAGCCCACATTTTCTATTGCAGAAACACTGCTTGTTTTTCACATCTCTTTACCAGATTCAACTCCAGATGGATTTGGCTTTCCTAACCCCCATCCTTGCACACATGGACAGTGGCCCTATTCCTTCTGAGTCACCTGTGCTTGTGTCCACCTCCTGTATGCTTCCTTTCCATGCTTAAGTTCAGTCAGGCCCTCCTGCCATCTTTGCAGGTTTTCCTGCACACCAGAATGGACCATTCTTGAGCTTGTAGAAAGTGATTCTTTGTGGGGTAAAAAAACCAAAAAAACCCAAAAACCAACCAGCTCTTCTGGGCCTGTCTTCTTTTCAGGATCATATCAGGTGGATTCACCCAAGTAGATCCCTGAACAGGCTGAAGTCTGGCCTCTTGAAGGCCATGACAATAGTCCTGGCCTCTTCTTCCCTCTTTTCAAGATCCTGAACTCCGTTTCAATGGAGTTCACTTCCAATAAAACCACTCTTTTTAGTGTTGAAGAATGCTGAGACCAACCCTAACAACAATCCTAAATTAATCCCATCACAGGGATATGAAAGACAGATGTTTCCTGACAAAGACTGGCACTGACAAGGATGTGAAAGACAGATGTTTACAGAATGAGAAAAAACAAACAAGTGACAACATCTTATTTAAAAGTAAAGCATGTTCTGTTGAGTTGACTTGACAACGGCTAGCCTAGCAACACATGACTGACAACAGATGACTTTGTACTATAAAGGCATGGTCCCATTTTCCAGCAGAGAGGACTTCTAGGAGTATGTGTGGAGATTCCTCCCTTGAGTAGGGATATCTTTCAAGGTAACTGTTTGAGTATGAGCAAAAATTATTTGCCCACATCATCAGTGTGGGTAAGTAACATCAATCTACTTGATAATTATTAAGACAGCTTTAAAACTACTGTTTTAATAAGTAGTGCACTGTAATTAGTTATAACTACCGATATTGTGTAGTAGACAATTGTGCTTATGATATTTTACCTTTTAATAATCGCTGGCTTAATTCTCATCACTACAATTAAAACACATACTGTATGCGTACTAACGTATTTCATTTGCCATGTTTAATCCTGCAGGACAAAGTTATATATAGAATCAATTACACTTATCACATCTGGGGTTGGTATAGATCCAGGCACACTTAGACTCCTCCTTGAGGACTTTAGAAAGCAAGGAAGTCCTTTATGAATCTTGTGCTTATATGCATGTACTTCAGTGACACCCAAGTTGATGATAAAGTCCCCTCTGTTTGCATAAGCCCTCATCTTTTGCTTGATAACCTCATCCACAACTTCTTCATTTGATTGTCATCCTTTCTTTCCCCATCGTTCTCAGTTTAAAGCTCTTCCTACCAGACTGACCATCCTGTTGGCAAAGATGCTCTCCCATCTTAGTCCAGTGTATCCCAGTTCTTCCAAGTGACATCTACTCATCAAAGAGCATACCACGTTCATAGAAAATAAAACCCCACAAGCTGACTGTTGAATTCCAAAATTTGGATATCAGAAAAGGACATTTCTGGGTTTAAACAGAAGCCATGGGCTACAGAAGCTGGGAAAAAAAAACCCTTTTCATTGACCTCATCTCTGTGGAATTTTCCTGCCTTCTCCAGCAGGCTGTGAAGAGACTTTTTCATGTTATCACATGTCCTATTGTATCTACTGCTCCCTGCATAATCCTGTCTCAAGAGATGTGAATATCTTCCCCCCATGTAATTCCCCTAAGATAAAATGGGTTTTCCCCTATGATATATGTGGTAAGACCCCAAATTTGTTAACTTAGGTTTTCCCCTTCCCTGAAACCCCCTAATTGTAATAATTGTAATAGTTACAACCCCCTGTTGAATATGTAGACCCTAAACCCTTTAAATATGAACTTGTGAGTCCAATAAACCATTCCAGTTTCTTGCCCCCAAGATGGGATCTTCTTTGCTTTATTGACCTCCACAGTTGACCAGCAGGTCTGAAGACACACCAGATGGGCCCTTATGCACTCTGGAGTGCCATCTCTCCAGAGCTGTATCATACTTGATGCTATCCAGGTCTCTCCAGTAATTGGAGAGGATTTGATGATTACATGAAAAAGCAGCAGGGATCAATAATCAGCCAGAGATGCCTCTGCAGGCTTTTCATGCTATCATAAATCACAGACCCTCAAAAGCAGCAAAGCCCCCTGGACAACAGGTCAGCAGACAGGCCTGTTCCCTACAGCAGAGCTGTCAGTATCAAGGAAGCAACCCTTAATGCCTCCTTCTGGTGCTCCTGTTGCCTGAAAACTGGGTATAAAGAAACTCTCTAAAACCCTTTTTTGAGTTTTAGGGAGCAAAACATTCTTTTATTTCAGCATGCTGGATGCACAAGAGAATACTGTGCATCT